CTTCGGGGGCGACTCGGGCCACTCGGCCTCCGGCAAGAGCGACATCTCGGGTTTAGTGAGCACCTCCTTGAGCTCTGGCCCCGCATAGTCCAGCACGTCCAGGCGGCCGATATCTTCGGCTATGGGAAGGCCGGGCTCAAGCTCGCCGAACTTCAGAGGGAGCGCCCGACAGTCCTCCTCCAGGTCGTAGCTCGACTTCGTCTTCTTCATTTCCTGAGGCCAGAACGGGATGTCCACCGCCGCCAACGCGTGGCCCACGTGCCACTCGACCGTCTCACCGATCACACGTAGGCTGGCGGCCTGCACCTCAGGAAGGCGCCCGGCCGCTTCCCAGCGGTCCTTGCTCAGGTGGCCAAGGTAAAGGTAGTTGTTCAGGCCCAGCACGCTCAGGAAGGTCCACACCTCGACCGCCATGGCTTGGGCCTCCTTCTTTAGAGCAGCTGGCCACTTCGTGACATCCACGGGGGATCCCTCACCGTCCAACACTCCTCTTCTCTTCGGATCACGTTCCCAGGCGATAAAGGTTGCCGGCTCCCTTACTGGCAGGGGCATCACATCGCGCCCGACACCGGCCTCCAGCGATTATGGCGCGACGCCCACAGGGAACCTTCCAGCGAAATCTCCAATGCAACTTGGCATTCTCCTAACACTGGTGAGGATCCCGAAGCCGATCTCCAGCATTGTCATTCGGCTTGGGCCGCTGCGGCGCATGCGCGAAGCGATGTCCGCCTTCCACTGGCCCAGCGTCAGCGCGGCCACCTCGCTGCCGATGACCGCGCCGCTCATCGCGTTCAATACTCCAGCGCGACCCGCCTCTGCGGCTCGCTCGGCTTCGCCGCTTTCTTGGCCGACACCCCGCGCTTGAAGAACTGCGACGCGATCCTCTTCTTCAACTGCCGCCTGGACTCCCCCTCGGCACGCGGAGTCTTCGCGCGCGCCGCCGCCCGCGCTGACAGGGGCTTCCCGCGCGCCGCCTGGGGGCCCGGGCGGTCTGTCAGCGCGGGCAAGCCGCCCCCCGACGGGGGAGCGGCGCGGCCCGCCTCCAGGGCAGGAGCACGACCCCTGGGCGGCTGCACTCCCAAGCGGCTGCGCAATTCTGCGGCGTCCGCGGCAGTGCCGATGTTGGTGATCGGCAACGCTCTGCTGTCCGGGCTTCCACCACGGCTCGGGCCTGCAGGGCAGTCGGCCAAGCTCTCGCCGCCGCCCCGGCCAGACCCCTAGCCGCGGCCCCCGAGGCGCCCGAGCAGCTGGGCCATGCGCACCTCGGCGGCCTCGATGCCCGCGACGAGCTCCTCGTCCTCAACTGAGAGGCTCAATCCACCACTGTCGGGGGGGATGAGCTCGAACCACTTCGCCGTCCTCGAATGGCCATCCCGTATGGTCTCTTGGATAGCCTTGATCCTGCAGAAGATGAAATCCAGGGCGTGAGTGGGCTTGCCCGAGACTATGAGGTCCGCACTCTCCGCGAGCGTCCGCAGCTCGCGGTACCGGTCCGCACCAATCTCACGAATGGGGTGCGCAGGCTTCAGCACCCGGAGCAAGAACTTGAGCGCCACGGGGCTATGCTTGGTCACACCTCCAGCATCATCATGGTCCAGAAACTGCGCCATGTTCTCCATCTCCCTCTCCGAGAGGCGCCCTGGATGCTTCTCCGCTATCTTCTTGTGCGCCAGGCGGCGGGCCGCCACGGGGCGCCCGCCAGGGACGCGATCATCATCGCTGTCAAACAGGCCGTCGTCGTCGTCGCCCTTCCGACTCAGGTACTCGGCGAGCGTCTTCAGTACTGCCCGCTCGCCTGAGCCGCGAGCACGACCGCCATCTGCTGGACCAGCAGCGGCAGCACTCGGCGCCTGTCCAGTCATCCTCGCCTGGACCACCTCGCCGAGCTTGGCCCTCTTGTTGGGTGCGGCGGCCGCGGCCCCGCCTGCAGCGGCCTCCGGGCCGCGCACTGTCGCGAGCTTCTCCCGCAACTTCTTGAGACGCTCCAGGTAGCAGTCCTTCGCCGAGCCCTTCGCGCCTTTGGACTTGCCTGAAAGCGCTGCGAGCTCCCTGTCGAACTCAGCAAAGGCCTCCGCGTCCGCCTCGTCGGCCTCCTCGTCGGCCTCCTCGTCGCCAGGTCGCCCCCAGCCTTGCCTACGCCGGCGGGGCGTTTCCTGGCCGGGCCAGCGATAGCGGCGCGACTCGGCGGCGGCTCCTCTTCCTCCTCAGCGGCCGCAGCCTCATCTAAGGCGGCCTGAGCGACATCAGCCGGCAGCTCAGGGCAATCCTCATCGTGCTGGAGCACTGCCATGTGCCGCTCGGCTGCCTGAGCGGCCGTGAGCCTCTGGGGCGCTCTGGTGTGGAGCACCTGGCACCCCGCCCGCGGTGCCGTGTAGCGACATCGCGAGACTGGCCCACGGCACACGTGTAAGATCATCTTCTCTCGCTTCGCAATGCGTGAATTAAGCCACCATGACAGATATTGGTCACCAGCAGCAAAGTACTCCACCTCGTAGGCGGTGCCCCCTGGGTTGTCCGACGTCACTCTGCGCACCACGCCAAGAACAGAGCCCGCGTCGGACCCGTCATCATGCAAGACGGGATGTCGGAAGCACTCGCCCGGCGTCAGCACTGTCGAGCGGTCGTCCGCCATCGGCAGCCGCTCGGACGAGCACTGGTCGGGCCCAGGGGGCGCGGAAAGGTGTACGGTCAGAGTGCCTGAAGCGCTCGAGCTCCAGACCGCAGGACCTGACCTGCGGCGCAACCGCTTGAGCCGTACACCTACGGAACGATCGAGCGAAGGAGTGTTCACCCTGAGCTCTCCCGAGGCCCGTCGGGCGAACACTATATCACCTGCTCGCTCGACGGCGGCGCTTTGCCCAAGAGGTCCAAACATACGCCCAACCCCGAGGGTGTTATGTTATATATATATATATATATATATATATACTCTAGAACCATCGCGCGCGCTTCGCGCGCGCTCAGGTTCTAGCCCGGGCCGGGGGGGTGCTGGACGATCTTGGACAACGCTATCAAGCAAAGGCGCGCGACGGCATCTGAGGAGCTTCTGGGGTGTTCCGCATGCTTCGTCAAACAACTGGCTGTTGGAAGCACCTCTTGGGTGCCTCTTGGGGGGCGTCTGAGGGTCCCTTGGGGGCATCGGTTCTGCAATCTGAAGCCGTCATTGGCCGTCTTGGCTGCGTGGAGGCCCGACTTGAGGCCACCTGCTGCCAGATTGAGGCGCTCCGGAAGCCTCCCAGGGGCCTCCTGGAAGCAGTTTTGACGCATCGAGGGCGCTCTTGGGCTATTTTAAAACCTCTTGGACGTCTCCTAGGGGCCTTTTGGGCCTTCGGGAAGCTTTTGGGGTCCTCGTCGGACCACTTGGGGGCCTGTTGCGGTCTCCTGTGGGCCTTTTGGGGGGAACGCTCTGCTGTTTAGTCGCGTTCTTCCCCTTCTTGGGCCTCTCTTGGTCTTGGGGCCCTCTGGGGCCGTCTTGGGCGCCGCAAACACCGTCTTGGGGCCCTCGCGGGCCGTCTTGGGGCCCTCTTGGAGGCCTCTTCCTTTATATAGGAGCGGTATTGGAAGCCTCTTGGGCCGTCTTGGAGCATCGGGATGCCGAAAGGCCGAAAAAATTAGAACCTGTGAAAGCCCAATCGTAAAACAATGAGTTGTGCCTCTTGGGGCCACCTTGGGAGATCTCTTGGAACCTCGTCGGCCCTCTTGGGAGCTTCTTGGGGGCCTCTTGGATCCGATTGGGGGCCTCTTGGGACTTCCCGAGAACCTCTCGGGGTAGAAAGCTCGGACTCTCGGTTCGTGTTTCCCTTCTTGGGCCTCTCTTGGGGCCGTCTTTGGCGCCTCAGGCACCGCCTTGGGGCCCTCGTGGGCCGCCTAGGGCCCTCTTGGAAACCTCTTCGGATATCTTGGAGCTGTCTTTTTTTTCAACATGCGACTACGGAATTATGCATGTCAGAAGAATCTGAAGAAACCGCGATGACACTCAACTCGGACCACCGCAGGTCAGAAAGGCTATGTTGAACCTGCGGGTATCGACACGATACATTGCACTTCTACGGATGATATATGGGTTCTCCTCGCTCTGGCCTTGCAACCGTGCACGGAGTTGCTTGGCTGGCTGTTGCGATAGCTCGCTGGAGGTAATAAGAACGAGGCAGCAGACAACGAGGGATGCAAGACCCGCTCCACTTCGGCGCCCTGCCTTTCTGCTGCGCCGTTGCGCCGCTGTCTGGCACAGTGAAGAGGACGAGCAACAGATCATGACACCTAGCCTGCTTGTCGCTCAAGAACGGGGTCCGATGGCCTCCCATTCGACCCGACGCTCAAGCGCAGCCGCGCGAAGAAGCAGAGCAGGGTAATAGGATCGCGCCAGCATGAAGACATGCGAAATGCGCCAATGGCCCAGTGGGCTAGGCGCTAGAGGCTGCAGCCTCAAACTAATCACGAGATGCACATGCGGAGTGCCACTGCATTTTCCGTACAACTGTCGTTGCCGTTGTCCCGATGGCATGGTTGCCACTCTGGAAGACCTAGCGATGACGCTAAATACAGAAGTATGCCGCGGATCCCTTGGAGCCAATTAGCTCTAGGAGAGTACCAAGTGTAAGCAGGCAGCAACGCGACAACGCTGCTCGGGCGCGAGTTCTTGATGCAAGACATGGTTGAAACTAGCTGCGCACGTCAGCGGGTCAAGACCCTCACGTGAGAGCAGCACCTGCTGGAGATGCACACAAAAACGCGGGGCCAGAGATCCACCGCGTGCGGAGGTAGTTGGATATATTTTGCACATGCCGCAGCAATTGCCCCGATGGCACGGCGACCACTCTGACAAATGGTGCCGAAGCGTTACGCACCGACCCCATGCGAGTGCACGACACATGCATCCTCATGTCCTCAATCATCATCCTGGTGGTCCAGTGGAGGAGATCAGTTCAACGACTCGGCTCACGTTGGCAGCATACTGGGGAGGCGTGTGACGTCGTGGGCAGAGGCATCCACCTACGTCATTAAACTGTGAAGGCGCGAAACACCGTGGGCAGAGGCATCCGCAACCTTGGACCAAAAAACTGCGCCGTGGGCAGAGGCATCTGGCCAGGCCCTTGCAGGCACGCGGCCCGGACAGAGCGCTGGACGGGAGGCCCCGACAGAGCGACGAGCCGGGCGCTCCGAGTGCGCCCCCCCGCTGCCCCCGATCAGCGCTGCCGCTGGCCAAGCCAACGGTCCGCGGTCGCCCCACCTCTTGCCAGGGCCCGACACGCAGGGAAGGAAGATATACACCCCAAGAGGGGTACGATCGAAAACGAAGAGGGCGGGTATCGACGGTTCGGGACATACGCGTTGAATGACACTCGGGCAGATAAGAGCGAACAGTCTTAAAATGTGTGTTGTGGTTTTTGTTGTTGTTGTAAACCGAGGGCCAGGGGCACAGCTTGCTGACAACTCACTTTCCCTTGTCAAAGACAGGGGTGCGAGCCCCAGGAGAAGCACTTTAATTGAATAGTGCAATGGTTACCGAAGAGGGGAGATCAACACTACTTATCCTTTAGAAGTGGAAGTACGACTATCATGTTGAGACTGTTCATCCCTATCCGCTCCAATGCCAATCAACACGTATATCCCAAACCCACAGTAACCCGTTCTCTTCGTCTTCGATCGTGCTCCCACTAGCGGCATCTATTCCTTACCTACCACATGCATGTAGCGCAGCCCGTAAGGTAGGGAAGGAGAACACCGATGGAAGGAAGGGATGGGTGGCAGGCAGGTTGCTGAAGCGTACGTCCAGCATGACTTGCGAGAAAGTCTCGACCGATAGCGCGATTCCAAAATAAATCACGAGACAATCCACAGCGAAACCGTGACTCCTGAGTGTCGAGGGCGCGGCGTCTGAATCAATTGCGAGGAAGTCCCACGCGAGAGCGCGACTCCTGCATGAATTGTGAAGAAGTCCCGCGCGAGAGCGCGATTTGGGAATAACTGGTGAGGGAATACCAAGCAGGAGCCGCTGTTGTCGTAAACCAGGGACCAAAGGCATTGTTTGCTGACAGCTCACTTTCCTGGGTAACAAAAAACAAGGTGCGAGCCGTGGATGAAGCATTTGCATAGGACAAATACAAGGGTTACTAGAGAGGGGGGACCAACAAGAACTATTCTGTAGAAAAGATAATTCAGCAACAACAGCAGCAACACTAGCGGCAGCAGCAGCAACAACAATCATTTTAGGACTGTTCACTCCTATCTGCTCGCGTGCCACTCAACACGTATATCCCGAACCCTCGGTACCCACCCTCTTCGTCTTCGATCCAACCCCCTTGGGGGTATATCCTCCTTACCTGCCACGTGCATGTAGTACAGCCCCGAAAACAGCGGAGGAGAGGACGGATGGAAGGGGGAGAGCAAAGGATGGAGCACAATATACATTAGCATGAGAGAGGCTAGGGGCAGAAAACACGTGGCAGAACCAGACGGGCAGATGGGGCGGGCAGACCCTCGCGGGCGGGCCGGGACGGCGGGCCCAAGCGGCCAGGTCGAGAAGGCGGGTTGGTGAAGCGTGAGTCCTGCATGATTCGCGAGGAAGTCTCGAGCGATAGCGCGATTCTCAAGTAAATCGTGATAAAGGCCAAAGCGAGAGCGTGATTCCTTAGTGTCGATGGGGCGGCGTCTGAATCATTGCGAGAAGTCCCACGCGAGAGCGAGATTCCTGAAACAGTTGTGAGGACATCCTGCGCGAGAGCTCGATTTTGGAATAACAGGCGGGAGCCGTTGCTGTAGTTCGGGGCCAACAACGCAGTTAGACCACGACGACTTTCCCTGCTAAAAAAAACAGGGTGCGAGCCCCGAGGGGGCACTTCAATTGAAAAACACAATGTGCACTGGTGAGGGGGATCAACAATACTTACTTACTCTTGAAGAATAAGAACTCAACCAACAAAAAGGGCGTTCCACAACGATGGACAGAAAACGCTAACACAACTACCCTAAAAATGCAAAACAAGTGCATCGCAGGTCGTTTCTCTCCCTCCCACCTCCTCCTGACGCTCACTCAGAGCATTTAGCGGCAAGTAGCTCTACCCCAGCGGGTAGACACCGCGGGTAGACGCCAGAGTCTGCGACTGGATGCTGCGCTGAAACATGTTTTTCCCCACATCCTGAGTGGGGTTCTTGTTTTCCCAGAACATCCTCTCCTTCTCCCTCCCGCCTCCCGCCTCCCATCCCACTCCTCCAGGGGGGCCCCGCCTGAGCGAGGAGGGTATCGGAAACCCATACTATTTACATGGTTTCGTGCCCCTCCCACCCCTCCAGGGAGGCCCAGCCTGAGCGAGGAGGGTATCGGAAACCCATACTATTTACATGGTTTCGTGCCCCTCCCTCCCTCCCTCTCCTCCAGGGAGGCCCCGCCTGACCGAGGAGGGTATCGGAAACCCGTACTATGCACATGGTTTCGTGCCCCTTTCCACCCCTCCAGGGGGGCCCCGCCTGAGCGAGGAGGGTATCGGAAACCCATACTATTTACATGGTTTCGTGCTCCTCCCACCCCTTCCAGGGAGGCCCCGCCTGACCGAGGAGGGTATCGGACACCCATCTTAATTACATGGTTTCGTGCCCCTCCCATCCCTCCAGGGAGGCCCCGCCTGAGCGAGGAGGGTATCGGAAACCAATACTATTTACATGGTTTCGTGCCCTTCCCACCTCTCCAGGGAGGCCCCGCCTGAGCAAGGAGGGTATCGGAAACCCAGTTTCGTGCCCCTCCCACCCCTCCAGGGAGGCCCCGCCTGAGCGAGGAAGGTATTGGAAACCTATGCTATTTACATGGTTTCATGCCCCTTCCACCCCTCCAGAGGGCCCCGTCTGAGCGAGGAGGGTATCGGAAACCTATACTATTTACCTGGTTTCGTGCCCCTCCCACTGACATGGGTGAGGAGGAGGGAAGAACATTACCTATTCATCTGACGTCCTACTCCTCCCACTGAGGAGGGTGAGGAGGGGAGTTCTGCGATGAGGAAGGCTTCATCATGATGATGGTGATGACGATGGTTATGCTGCTGTTCACGATGACGATGACGATGGCGATAATGGTGATGGACGATGGCGATGGCGATATCGGCGAATATGATGATGATGCTGATGATGATGATGATGATGACGATGATGACGATGCTGACAACGACGACGACGAGGATGATGATGCAGATGCTGGTGATGATCACGATGCTGCTGCTGATGCTGACGTTGCTGGTGCTGTTGATGATGATGACGACGATGATGCTGATGATGATGACGTCCACGATGATGCGGGCGATGATGATGCCAAGGACGGTGACGGTGATGGTGGTGATGATGACGATGATGATGATGATAATGATGATGGCGATGATGGCGATGACGATGATGATAATGATGACGATGACGCTGACGATGATGATGATGCTGAATATGATGATGGTTATGATGATGCCGATGATGCTGACGATGATGATCAAGATGATGATGAGGATAATGATGATGATTATGATGATGATGATGATACTGATGATGATGACGATGATACTGCTGCTGCTCTTCACCATCATCCATCTTATCCTCTTCCTTCTCCTCATCCTCCTCCTCCTCCTCCAGGAGGGTATCGTAAAACAATGCAGTTTACACGGTTTCGTGTCCCCCCTCCACTCCTCCAGAGAGGCCGCGCTTGAACGAGGAGGGTCGCGGAAAGCATTACTCTTTACCAGGTTTCGTAGCCCTCCCCCCTTCCAGCGGGGCCCCGCCAGAGCGAGGAGGGTATCAAGAAACCGTACTATTTACAAGGCTTCGTTTCCTGAACACCTGTCCTCCCTCCTCCTTTCTTTCGTCTGCCCTTTCGTGCGTACTTACTCGTTCGATGAGCTTCGCCTTCGTGTTGATGTTGTCGTACCCCGCGGGTCCCACGAAACCGTTAATATCTTTATGTGGGGAACTCCGTTAGCATAATTTTGCGTACTGAGCTTGCTGCCGCCCCGCGTGGTGAAAACAACGCGTACCTATCACGGAAATAATGCAAGCGGAGGCAAGGAGCAAGCCAACCCGCTAATGGGGCTAGCGCTAGCGATGGGCTGCTCCCTGATGCTTTGGGTGAAACTGCTAATTATTGCACTGTTATGCCCACGACACTGAGCACATTGATAAAACATCCGCATCGCCTGCAAAGCCTCCGAACCCTATGTCGATGGGCACTGCTACTCTGCACACGGAGCTCGGCTTTCGTGAACACGAGCGCCAGGCGTGCCGCAGCCAAAGTGACCACTTTGGGTGTCTGGACGACCACCGGTGCCGCGCGGCGCGGGGGGGGTCTGGCCAAGCGCCCGCGTCAGTCCTCGTAGCAGTCCGGCGCCGCCTCCGAGAGCACCGCCGCCAACTGCTGGGGGCTTAGCTGGCTGAGGGCGGTCCACGCAACTGTCAAGCACGTGGCTGGCCCGCTGATGGCGCACACCTTCTCATACTGTTGCGTCGGGCGAGGCAGAGCACCCCGCCGGAGGCCCACGCGAGGACGAGCGCTGCAGGGCGAGGGATAGCCCGACGGGCGGGGCCTGGGCCGGGTGCGGCCGGGTCAAGCCGGACTGGGCAGGACTGAGCCAGTCAAGACTCGGGTGTGGCCAGAAGTATTGCCAAGCAAATGTCGATATGGTAGAATGTCGAAATGGTAGAATGTCCAAAGCGCTGCTCTCCTTTCATTCGGCGTTTCGACGTTGGGCGGAACCCTGCCCCTGTCTTGGTTTGGCTTCTGGGAGACTGGGCGGGGCTCAGAAATTGAGGGACGTCTGCGGCCAGGTGAAGCACAGAAGCGAGTGTCCGACAACCCAGCGCTAGACCCTCTCAGAGGAAGGGTTTGCAAGTGGTCGCAGACCTGCAGACGGGCGCGCGTGCCTCAAGCTGCACCGCCGCTCGCTGCCTGCATGGCAGACGGCACGCGCGGCTTGCATGGCAGGCCATGCCGTAGCCCGTAGCGGCGCGGCGTCAGACGAGCGAGCCTAAACTCAGCTGGCTCATCTGATTCCGCAACGCGCGGGGTGCAGGGCTCTCGCTGCCATCGCGGCTCGTGTTTGTCAAGGATGCGGCGGCGCTGCTCTGCGCCGCGCTGCCGCTTTTCCTGAGAACC